GGTCTCACCAAGTTGCCCAGGCGGGTCTCGAACCCGTGGGCTCAGGCAATCCATTCACCTGAGCCTCCCAAAGGCACAGGATTACAGGCTGAGCCACCGAGCCCAGCTCTGTTATAGTTCTTAAATGTGAACTAACAAAAAGCAAAGTTGAAAAAATAAATAATAAAATATAGTTATATAAAAACAGAGCTCTAGATTCATTAAAATGTGTTCATAACATTTTTGGAAAATGAAAACTCACAAAACCAGGATATTTTTAAAAATTTAAAAGTGAGTCTGGCATGGTGGCTCACGCCTGTAATCCCAGTACTTTGGGAGGCGGAGGTGAGAGGATTGCCTGAGACCAGGGGTTCGAGACCAGCCTGGGCAACTTGGCAAGACCTCTTCTCTACAATAAATAAAAACATTAGCTGGGCGTGGCGATAAGTAGCTGTGATTGCAGCTACTTGGAAGTCTGAGGTGAAAGGATCACCTGAGCCCAGCAGGTTGAGGCTACAGTGGCCGTGAGCATGCCACTGCATTCCAGCGTGGGCAACAGAGTGAGACTCCAACTCAAAAAATTTAAGAAAAAACTTTAAAGTGTATACACATTATTGGACTCCACTTAAGAGTTTTAACAATGTGCTTTCAACGTCAGACAGAAAGTAAGTTCAAAGTGTGAAGACATAAAAGAAAGATATTCTAATAGTTATATCCTATTATCCACATGAATATGATAAAGCCTCAGGTTTTCTACTCATTTGAGTTAGGGTAGGCAGAATGGTGTAATAATTAAAAATTTAGGCTCTGTAATTGGAAGCCTGGTTCAAAACATCCACCTTCACTGCCAATGGCTGGGACCACTGGGCAAGTGCCTAACCTCTCTAAGGCTCAGTTTCCTTACCCACAAAACAACTTAATAATACAAACTACCATACAGGTTTGCTGTAAATAAAGTAAGACAGGGCATATAAAAATTTAGCACAAACCTGACATACAGCGAGGCTTCAAAAATAGTTTTCAGTAACAACAGAAGTAATAGTAGTGCTAGTGTTAACAGTAGTAAAAAAAATCCTGCAGTAAGTAAAATTATGACGTGCTTTAACATGGTATCACATGACTGCATGGTAACGAGAATGCCTTCTATGTGTATTTGTGAAGTAAATGTTTGTGAGTGATGGAGGGAGGGAGGCAACGAGGCAAGCAAGTCTTGTCCAATCTAGATGAAATTCTCTGGGCTGGGAGTAATGGCTCACACCTATAATCCTAACACTTTAGGAGACAGAGGCAGGAGGACTGCTTGAGCTCAAGAGTTCGAGACAAGCCTGGGCAAAATAGCGAGACCCTGTCTTTATAAAAAATAAAAAAGTTAGTTGAGTGTGATGGCAAGTGCCTGTAGTCCCAGCTACTTTGGAGGCTGAGGTAGAAGGATCACCTAAGTCTAGGAGGTCAAGACTGCAGCCAGCCATAATGGTGCCACTGCACTCCAGCCTGGGCAACAGAGGAAGATTCTAACTCAAAAACAAAAAAAAAGAAAGAAATTCTCTGTTACTGCTTTCCTTTAATCAAAATTCAAATTAAATAATGAAATGAAGGACATAATAGTCCTTAAATATCAATCCGTAATAAACTTCTGAATAGTCGCACATACCTTCATTTAGAATTATGTAGTATAAACTAATGATCTGGATATGAGTTGAAATCTCTCAAAAGCCTTAATTAGATTCAACTCAATCTCGTAGTACCAACAGAATATTTTTGTTATTAAAGAGAAATTATTCCAGAGACTGTGGCCCCAACACAAACAAATACAAAAATATACAAACAGTATATAGTAAGGTAAAGCAACCCAGTTGATGAATAAAAGTAATTAATGAGCCGGACTCAGTGGCTCAGCCTGTAATCACAGTACTGTGGGAGGCTGAGGAGAGAGGATTACCTGAGCCCAGGGGTTTGAGACCAGCGTGGGCAACTCGGTGAGACCATGTCTCTACAATAAATCACAAAAACTAGCGAGGTGTGGTGGCAAGCGTCTGTAGCTCCAGCTACTTGGAAGGCTGAGGCGGAAGGATCACCTGAGCCCAGTAGGTCAAGGCTGCGGTAGCTGTGAGTGTGCCACTGCACTCCAGCCTGGACGACAAGAGTGAGACTCCAACTCAAAAAAAAGAGTAATCATGTTTATTAATATCTTCCTAATGAATAAAGAAAGATTACAGGCAAGACAAAAATATGTTTATAATGATTTAAGCTCAAATAAATGTAAGAAACTTGAGGTTAAAAAGATCAATTTTGGCCAGATGTGGTAGCTCACACCTGTAATCCTACTCCTTTCGGAGGCCAGGCAGGTGTTTGAGATTAGCCTGGGCAACATAGCAAGATTCCATCTTCACAAAAAAATCAAAACGTTAATTGGGTTTGGTGGCACGTGCCTGTAATCCCAGCTACTCTGGAGGCTGAGGCAGAGGGATCCCTTGAGTCCAGGAGGTCGAGACTACAATGAGCCAGGATTGCACCACTGCACTCCAACCTGGGTGACAGAGACTCAAAAAAAAGTTCAGTTTTACCAAGGGTACCTAAAGCATCACCACTCAATTTTTAATGGCAGAACTTAAAGTAAATCTTCATTCCGTGTTGAATGGCACACACTATATCAACACCTATTTCAAGTAAAGACCTTCTTTAAGAACCTATTTCAAGCTGGGTTCCGTGGCTCAGCCTATAATCCCAGTGTTTTGGGAGGCTGAGGTGAGTGGACTGCCTGAGCCCGTGGGATCGAGACCCACCTGGGCAACTTGGCGAGACCTCATCTCTACAATAAATCAAAAAGTAGCCGGGTGTGGTAGCGCGTGCCTGTAGTTCCAGCTACTTGGAAGGCTGAGGCAGAAGGATCGCCAGAGCCCAGCAGGTCAAGGCTGCAGTGGCCGGGAGCAGCTACTGCACTCCAGTCTGGGTGACAGAGTGAGATTCCAACTCAAAAAAAAAAAGGAACCTATTTTAATGGGAATTAAACCCACATTTAATTTTTTCTATCATTTATTCTAAATTGTTTCAATTGAACCATAACTCCATTCCATTATTGAATATTACTATCCTTTAGCCAACCAATCTCCTATACAATTCAGCTCCCACATCTGCCATCTTTGTTATAGACACTTATCTCATTTACCAACCTAAAAATAAAATCAAACGCCATGGATCCTATCCTAAATAAACTATCAAAAACTTGTACAAAAATGCCTGTATATTTATGAAGATACTTATTACATGGTCATTTATAGTAATGATAAATTTAAAAACAAGCTAAGAATCTAACAACAGAAAAATGGTTAAATAAATTATATACACACTCTTTTTAAAGCTTAATGAAAATAAAACAAAATGCTAAAAGAGATCACTTCTGGTTAGTGATTTTTATTTTCTTATATGTAATTTCTGTATCTTCCAAATTTGTTAATATGAGTAACTACTGGTTTGATAATCAAAAAATTGTATCTTTAAGTTTTAAAAACATTACAGAAAGCTTTTGTTAAATTAACAGTTAAAAAAAGAGATAGAAAGAGTATAACTTTTTCAAAAGTATGTTGCAAATCAAAAATATTTACCTTTATATCAAAAGGTGACTTCTTCTTAATGTGGGGAGCCCAGTATTTACATGCTAACTGCAAAAGTAAAAAAATATAAATAGTTAAGTCACAAATTTATGCCACTGTAGAGCTGGAAGAATGAAATCATTTAGTGACAAGCTGTTTCTTAACAAGGCACTATTGGCACTGAAGGACTGAGTGATTCTGAAGGGACAAGCATACAGGCCAGTTAACATCCTTGGCCCCAATCCTCTAAATGACAATAATACTTTGCACTGCTCCCTGCCATAAAACAAACAAAATATATCTCTCCAACCACACCTAGTGAAACAATATAATCATGGAGTCAAACACTTTCAGCACAGTGATTAAAAAATTCTGGAGCAGGGCCTGGTGTCTCACATCTGTAATCCCGGTACTTTGGGAGGCAGAGGCAAGAGGATTGCCTGAGCCATGGGTTCAAGACTAGTCTGGGCAATATGGTGAGATCTTGTCTCTACAATAAATCAAAAAAATTAGCTGGGCATGGTGGCACATGCCTGTAGTTCCAGATACTTGGAAGGCTAAAGCAGAAGGATCACCTCAGCCTAGCAGGCAGAGTCTGTGGTGGCTATGAGCGTGCCACTGCACTCTAGCCTGGGTGACAGTGAGACTCCAACTCAAAAAAAAAAAAAAAAAAATTCTGGTCTAGAAAAATAAGTAACCTGACAAAAATTATGGTTAACAGTTGAGCAAGTATTAAAAACCAGATTCAAAAATCTTCATGAATTTTGATTTCTAAAAATAATAAACCGTTAAATGATTAGTGCACATCCAGACACACAGAATCAAAACCTAAAAACAAAAATAGTCTATCAGCTAGTTATTACAGAGAATAAAAGAGTTGGTATAAACAGATTAGACTTCACCTTGAAATTGTGAAATTTAAATAAATACATTCTCTCCAGATATTTAGGTGGAGTGTATAATCTCTTAAATTAAAAACAACAACAACAAAAAAACTCTGACCACCATAAAGTCTCTACATATTTATAAAAAGGTGACTATTCTGCAGTGTCTGGCATGTTAGAAGCACTCAAATAATGTTTGATGGAGGAATAGATGAACAAATGAAGTAAAAGTTAAAATGTTATTATTCTGTGAGGCTTTCCTCAACACTATTTGATGGTGATCATTGCTTTTTCTTTTGCTTCATTTTGTAAGCAACTTATAATCTTATCTTTTTGTATTATAATTGTTTGATTGCTTATCTACCTTCCCCACTCACTTAATTATAACACTTAAGAGATGGCACTAAAAACAGTCAACACACTTACAGAGCTCCACAGTTTGGATGCTGGCCCTGAGGAAAAGCCCCTAAAAACATGGAAACTGCTGACTTAAACACTTTCCCAAATTACCATTCACTCTGCAACCCAACAGAAAATCCTCACCTCAACCCCAATTTTTCTGTGTGTCATCTCCTCGTTCTGCTCCCTATGGACATCACACATATTCAGTCATCTTCTTACATCATAACCTTAAGAGAACAGAGTCTAACCTGTTCTGATGGATTCAAGGAATCACAAATAAAAATTTAAGTCCTATCTTCTGACCTAAACTATTTACTGTACATCTGTATCTGATTAAATAACTAACAAACATTTATTAATCATCTATCATGTCTCTTTTCTCTCTCTGAGTTTCTCCTTTTCCTTGGGGTCTAACCTGTGATCTCTCAAACACCACTACTTCCAAGTATATACTGCCCTCCCTCAAATCCTTCACCCTCATGTAAAATAAAAACTGTCCATTCTCCACTTAGTACAGCTATGACAACACAGATCAAAATAAACCTTACTGAGAGACAAAAAGGAAATAAAAATACAGTGTTATAAAAAAGTGAAGTTCATATCTCCAATTCTCTTAAAACTAAGTTTTAATCTCTTGATCTCATTCATTCAATAAATATTTTTAAAGCACCATTAGCAAGATGTGTCAGATGCTCAGAAATTAAATTTACAAAAAAAAAAGAAAAAACACCTAAGTCCATGATGTACCCTCTACCTAGAAAACCAATTTGCCTACATTCTTCTCTACATTTCAAAGTACACCTAAAATGGCACTTTCTCAATGAGAAAACTCTTCCTGGAAATTCTTTCCTTAGCCAAATGTAAACCTTTTAAAGTCTATTCTCAAAGCAGTTTCCTCATATCTGTATCCTGGTATTTTTCATATCAAACTATGGTGAGTTATTTAAGTATCTTAAAATCTCTTTTCACAGAGTGTGAACTTCTTGAAGACAAGGACCATCTTTCCTTACAGCCTAGAAGAGCCCAACCAGTATCTGGCAAATATTAGGCATTGTTTGATATTATGCTCCAAGATTGCCAAGGACCTTCATTTCTCCCTCTACATCTTAATGCCCTGGACCATTTGTTCATTAATTCACTCATTTATTCATTCAACACATACTTACTCATCACACAACATGTACCTAATACAATGCTAGTGCTGGGAGTACACGGGGAATAGAATAAACATGGCCTCAGCCTCAGCTCTTATAATCAAACGCAGAATACAATAAATGTTATATGTTTACATTATATAGGACATCTCATTCAGTCCTATGGTTTTAAATATCACCTTTGGTCAACAACACCACAAATATATATTCAAGCCCATATCTTGCTGCTATGCTTTAGACGCTCACATTTAACTGCCTTCTCACTATTATCAACTAAATATCTATGAGGCATCTCACACTTAATGTGGTTAAAACAGAAATCTTGATACTCCTTACTAAACCTTCTCCTTTCCCAGTCTTGCCCACCCAGTAAATGGCCAAACCATTTGTTCAAACTATTCTCAGTTAGGCTCTTTCCTCCACCCATACACAAGCAATCAAGTAGTCCTACAGCATCTTGCTTCAGAATACTGTATATTCAGTCTACTTCAATCTTTAATGGTAGAGGCCACTGTCATCTCCTACCTGCACTAACTAGTATCCTATCACAATTTTTGCTCCCTCATCCCCAACCAATTTCTATACTTACAATTTAGCTAGGGTGGTCTTTCTATTATTATTCAGCAGATTGCAATTAAAATTCATTGTATTTAGAATACAATGAATACAATTCATTATATTTAGAATACAATTCATTGTATTTAGAATCCAAACTTCCTACCTCAAACTCCAAAACTGTATATGATCTGGTCTCTATATATTGTTCTGTGCTCATTTCTTATGTTCCAGTTACCCTGGTCTTCTTCACATTCATACCTTAAGGAATGTGCACTTGCTACTCTCTGGACCGTTTCCTCGCTTTTCCCCAAACTAGCTCCTTCTTTGCATTCTTCAGGTGTTAACTCAAATGTCACCACAGAAAGGACTTTTCTGTCTTTCATACACCCTACACCAGACACTGTCACAACCGCTGTTTTACTTCCCTCACAGCACTTACCAATGTCTGAAACTGCTAGTTCTTCCCTCTGAAATGTAATCTCTAAGAGAGCAGGAAACGAGTAAGTGACTTTTACTGCAAAACACACAGGGGAAAGAGAGCTCTAATCTAGTATAAATTGTCAGGAAAAGCCTCTCTAAAGTAGTATAGAAGGATAAGAATGAATAAAGCAAAGTGGGGCCAGGCACAGGGGCTCGACTGTAATCCCAGCACTCTGAGAGGCCAAGATAAGAGGATTGTTTGAGCCCAGGAGTTCAACCAGACTAGACAACACAGTGAGATTTTGTCTCTACAAAAAAAAGAAAAGAAAAGAAAATGAGCTGGGCGTGGTGGTATGTGCCTGCAGTCCTAGGTACTCAAGGCTGAGATAGAAGGATCAGGAGGTTGAGAATGTGGTGAGCCGTGACGTACCACTGCACTCCCGCCTGTGTAAAACAGTGAGATCCCTGGTTCAAAAATAAATAAAGGAAAGTGGGGGAAAATGAGGATTCCAAGCAGAAAGAAGGATGTTGAAAGGTCATTAGGAGAAAGATAGCATGACACATTCAAATAAACACAGCTCAGTATGGCTAAAGCATAGAGTCACAAAGAAAGAAGAGAGAGGAAACTGAAGATATAAGCACCGGTCAAATCACATAACACTTTAAAGGATACCACTCATTATCCTAAGGACAATTAAAATTCTTTAAATTAAAAAGGTAAGTGATATAATCAGATTTGCACTTGAATAAAATCACTCTGACAGCAACATGAAGAACGGGCTGGAGGAAAGCAAGAGAAAAGAGAAGATGACAGATTAGAATACCTTGGTCCAGCTGGGAAACAATGTCAGCCTGATTTAGGGTAAAAGAGGTGTAGAAAAGTGGACAGGTTTAAAAGATATTTAGAACGTATAAATGTAGGGGCTAAGAGAAAAGGAGGATTCATAATTACTCCTAGGCAAATCTGCTGAGACCAGGAGCAGAGAATAAATAAGCAAGTGGGCATAATTTCCACACTGAGCCACTTACAATCTTACCCAATTCTCAAGTAATTAATAAGGATTCGGAATGCTGCTGAGAGTTACAGGACTGTGTTCTCCTTATCCAAAGCCAACCCGTGGCTCCCAATGCAAGACAGTAAACAGGCTCTGAAGGAACGTTCTCAAACGATAGGATTACTCTCTTCATAGATGGATCTATTTGAAGCAGGTATCCTGTCTAACTCTCATCACTTCGCTCAAAAACCTAGATTACTCTACGGTCAGGAAACAAGACTATTCCTCCCTCAAGAGTCAGTCCAGTACCATTCTGCTGCTAAGCATGCTTGCCAGTGTCAGACAAATTGGGGAGTTCCTTCCACTCTGAAACCATTGCTCCCGCGACAAACTCCAATCCAGCAACACACTCACACAGTAGTTTTCTTTTTACGTGTCTGGTTTCCTTGAACCGTGAACGCAAGGCAGGGCAGCCTCTCACCACGGTATACTCAGCACCCACCATAGAGGCTGACCCAGAGCCGATACTCAGCAAGAAGACTTGACTAAATGAATTAACAAACGAATGCCTCCTGGGGTGTTCCCAGTCTCGAAGAAAATCTCACCCCCAGGCCTTATCGACTCCCACACACCAGACTCGCTGAGCTCACCTGGGTCACGAACTCCGCGTTGATCTGGGACACAGTAGGGGCCACAATTTTCTTGGGCTGCGCCGTGGCCGCCATGGCAGCACTCTCCCTCCACTCTAGTGGAAATGAAAGGACCACCTTGGGCAGCAGTGAGCTTGGTCCACTTCCCCTACGCAACAGCTTCCGGCGCCTAACTCCGCCCTGCAAAAACCCGCCGGGCCGGATATCTTCAGCCTTTAGAGTCCCGCAGGGAACCGGTACAGCAACCCGTGAGTTCCCCCGGAAGTGGAACGGAGAAGGGCCGGAAATTCATGCAGGCGTAGAGACTGAGCTAGAGAGCCAAGGGCTTCGATCTCCTCTGTCTGCGCCTCCTAACGGGTGACAGAGAGAAAACACCCAGCTGGCGGGATTGGGTCGCAGGGAGGAGCCAGGTGGATGGTGTTGAGTGTAGGTTCCTCATAAGGGCTGGGGGAAGTGGGGATTGGAGTTTCTTTTAAACCAAAAGAAAATGGGGGGGAAAAAAAAAAAAAAAAAACCAGACCAGGAATACGGGTTTTGGTGTTAGTTGTCTTTAACAGCTTTATGGAGGTATAGATTGACATACAATAAGGTGCATATATTTAGGGTGTACAATTTGATACATTTTGACATAGTCACACGTCTGTGAAACCGTCACCAAAATCAAGATAATGAGCATATCAAAGCCCCGGAAAGTTTCCTCCTGTACTTTTACAATCCATCCCTTTCAGCACTTCCACTCACTTTTCAGGCAACCACTGATCTGCTTTCTGACAATATAGATAAGTCTGCTTTTTATGAAATTTTATATAAATGAAAATACAGTGTGTTCTTTTCAAAAAATTCATTCAACAAAATGGTTTTGAGATTCATTCATGTTGCATATGTTAGTAGTTCATTTCATTTGTATTGTTAGTACTATGCATTCCCTTTTATAAATATACCACAGTTTGTTAGACTATTCATCTGTTGATGAACATTTGAGATGTTCCAAGTTCTTGGTTATTACAAATAAAGTTGCTATGAGCATTTATGTATAAGTCTTTATATTAACATATATTTCCTTTTTTCTTAAGTAAATGCCTAGGAGTGAGATGAAGGCTGGGTCATATGATAGGTGTATATTTACTTAACTTTTAAGAAATTTCCAGCTTTCCAAAGTAGTTATACTGTCTTACATTCACACCATTTGCATGTGAGAGTTCCAGTTTCTTTTCAACCTCACAAGCACTTAACATGGTCAATCTTTTTAATTATAGTCGTTTTTGTAGGTGTGTGATGTATCACATTGTAGCTACAATTTGCATTTCCCTGATTACTGATAATGTTGAGCATCTTTTCATGTGCTTATTGGATATTCATATATCCTCTTTCGGGGAGGCTTCTGTTGAGATTTTTTTTTGCCCATTTAAAAAAATCGAATTACTTGTTTTCTTATTAGAGTTTGAATGGTAGGCCATTCCCAAATTCATAAACAAATTACACATATATCTTTAGTAAACACTGCCTGGATGAACAAAGGCAAGAACTGATAACACTAATGCTTCTAGGAAGGAGGAACTCAGAGAGGAAAACAGGAATGAGGAAAATTTATTTTACATTTTATACTCTTTTGTAACTTTTACATTTTATAATATATATGACCAGTTCAAAAACAGTGTGAAGGAAAAAAAAATCAACTCTGTAGGTATGGAGATTAAGTGTGAAGTTCTATTTTCCCTTTACATGCTGCTATATAAAGTTCGCTTATAGAGCTAGAGATGAAAAATTTGCATAATCACAATTTTAAATGCAACAGATTTTGAATATATATCTATTGACACTTTATTTCTAAAGTTAGTGTCTATAAAACAGTAAAATAAGATTTTTCTGATGGCTTTCATGATGATTCTTGACACTTAAATAGCATTTTGACTAGCAAAAACTACAAGGATTGTATTTTGATACTGTGAAACCACAAAAGCAGGTCATGAAGGGGACTCTTAGGAATGAGTAATAATAGGGCTTGATGTGTTGAAAGTCTTGAAAGCTAAGGAAAGTTGGCTGTCTGTATTGTGAAAGACAATGGGAAATGATTGGAAATCTATTTTTGGAAGATGATTTTCAGTGTCATGTTAAATGGGTTGGTACAGGTAATATGAGGATGAGAATACCAGCTGAAAGACCACTGTAAATCTAAAGCTAAAGTAAAAAAGAACAAAAATTGGGTTCTGGCAGTCACAATGAAAAGGAAGGAATATATGTGGAACAGGAGAGATAGAATAAAGAGAAAATATCCTAAGTAATTGAAAGAATAGTGGAACCATAAAGCACAGTAATGAAGACGAGGGTAGAGTATATTTTTAAAGGAAAAAATGATTCCTTTACATAGACAGTCTGAGGTAGCAGGGAGAGAACCAGTTAATGATAAACAGTTTATTTTCCAATTTACATATGTATTGAATCAACAATTTATCCCATGATTTTGTGGCCAAGAGGATATTAAACCAATAAGTGCCAGATTATATGTAGCTTTCTAGTGGCCTATGTAAATGGTTCTAATTTTAGCATATTTATGACAAAATGCAGTATCATAATATCTCCTCCTTCCCTTACACTCTCATCTGTATCTACTTTTCTTATCACTTAGCTTTTGACCGATGCAACTAGACACTCTAAAATTATGTATATTTTATGGTTTTCCTGTTGTTTGACAGGTTTTTGGTTTTTGGGGGGGGTTTGTGTGTGTCAGAGTCTCACTCTGTCACCCAGGCTGGAGTGCAGTGGCACACTCACAACCACCACAGCCCTGACCTCCTGAGTTCAGGAGATCCTTCCACTTCAGCCTTCCAACTAGCTGAAATTACAGGCACACACCGCCATGCCCAACTAAATTTGCTTGATTTATTGTAGAGCTGAAGTCTTGCTAAGTTGCCCAGGCTGGTCTCAAAACCCTGGCAATCCTCTCACCTCCACCTCCCAAAGTGCTGAGATTATAGGTGTAAGCCACCACACCTGGCCATTTGATAAGTGTTCTATAATGAGTTGTGTAAATAAGAGAGAAACCAAGGAATCAGGAAGTCAAGAAAGAAGGCTTCAAATGGCAAGATTGTCAAGAGGATCAAATGTTTCAAAGAAATCTAAAAGCACAATAATTTCAAAAATACCATGAATTTGGCAATTAGGAGACCATTGGTAACCATTATTAATTGGAATATGTTGTAAGAAAAAAAATTTAATTCAAACTGGCTTAACAACAAAGAAAATCTATAGGAGTAATAAATTAAAAGTCTAGTGATGTTAGGCTTCAAGTAGTTTCATCAGGTTTCCAGCTCCATTTCTCTGTGATTCTTTTGTCTTTGTCCCCTATCTCATTCCTTCTGTGTTTTGACTTCATCACCAGAATGGTGTCCCTCAAGGTCCCAAAATGTAGAGCTTCTTATTACATTCACCATTCCTTGTCAGTCACTGAAATGAGTACAACGTTTCACTCTGATAGTATCTACTTAGATCGGTGCTCACCCCAATTACTCTGGCTTAGAACCGGATTGCCTATTCCTGAACAGTCATGAGAGCAAGGGAGCTGTGAGTATTCTGACAGGCTTAGTCTGATCATGACCCATTGCTGAGCTGCAACTCAGTCTAACCCAGACCACCAGCTGATAACACAGTGAAGGAGAGGAGATGGAGTGGTTACAACCAACAATGACCCTACAATAACCATTGAGAGAGCAATTACCAAGGGATAGTGAGGAAAACAACATGTAATAAAGGACTAAGAAGCTGTTGAGTGAAAAGGCAACGAAGGAAGTATAAAATAAATTTGCAACAATTTTGACCATACAAGGAAAAACTATGATAGTAGTCAGAATAACTAGTAAAACTAAAATCATTTGTCTCCACCAATACCCCTTTTAAAGCTAGGTACAGGGACAGCATTGTTTGCTTATCCATTCATCTCTTTCCAAATACAATTTCAAATTTGACCAGTATTCTTACTATCCCCAAGCAACCATATGCTCCAAAGTAAGCTGATTTCCAGCTCCACCCAGCTAGCGGTCGTCCTTGTCAGTGGTTGGTTCAGAAACATGCTTGTGAAGCAATTCTGGCAAATAGGATGAGATTTGCTGGAGGCTTTTGGGAAAGTTGTTCCTTGCTCTTGTGTAAGTTTCTGGATCTCTCACTCACTCCCTATCCTGCTCTACCCCATGAAGGAAGGAAACATGAAGTACTGAGTACAAACAAAACATCCTCATGGCCTTGTCACTGTGAAAGGCAGAACAGAGAGAAGGAAGCAGAATGAATTCAACTATGTGAGTCAACAAGCGTAAAGCTTATTTGCTGGATTTTAGTTATATAAGCCAATTAATGTCCTTATTTCTAAAGCAGTTTGAGTCAGGTATTCTGTCACTTGCAGCCAAAAGCATCATAGCTGAATAGGGAACACATGGAATTGTTTCCTTTTAACACAGAGGGGAAGGAACCAATGGAGAAAGAAAAACTAGATGCCAACCAGACTTGGTGGCTCACGCCTGTAATTCCAGCCCTTTGTGAAGACACAGTGGGAGGACGGCTTTAAGTTTGAGACCAGCCTGGGCAACATAGCAAGATTTCGTCTTCACAAAAAAATCAAATTAGCTGGGCTTAGTGCTCTATGCCAGTAGTCCCAGTTACTTAGGAGGCTGAGGCAGAAGGATTCCCCGAGTCCAGGAAGTTGAGACTGCAGTGAGCCGGTGAACTGTAATCCCTGCCGCTGTACTCCAGTCTTGGACACAGTGAGACTCTGATCTGGAAAGAAAAAGTAGATACTAAAAAAAAGGAGGGGGCTATTACATTCCCAGAAAGGGGCAAAGAAGCTTCAGCTTCAAAAGGTAGAGGAACACTATTCTGAGACAGACAATAAACAAGAAAGGGAAGAGACATTTTTAAGCGAAGAGTAGGTACATTTAGAGAGGACCTGTTGGATTGACTTTGATCTCAACACAGTAGAAGGCAAACACCCTCTGAGGGTGAAAGGATCTAAGTGAAGCTATACATTTAAGGAAAATGTAAAATGTTTGTAGTAATTGCTTCATTCATCCATTTCTTTCCTCAAATATTCAATACACTGAGGACCTAATGTTTGCCAGACAGTTAAGACCCTCGTATAAATAATATAAAGATGCATTGTTGCTTTTTAGAAGCGTGTAGTTCAGTTCAGTGGTTTCAGCGTGTAATCTCACAATAGTAGCAGCTAACCTGTTAGTCACTAAATGTAAATTCTTGGGTCCAAACACATTGGGTCAGAAACTCTGAGGGTGCAGCTGGGCAACCCATGCTTCTATCAAGCTCAAGTCACACCAAAGTTGAAAACCACTAGTTTCTAGTGGAAAATCAATTGTGATTAAAAAATTATAAACAAAAAGTTGGGAAAACACAAGGGATGGAGTGTTTGGGAAGTCAAAAAGTCTTCCAGAAGATTTGAGCTCAAACATCAAAGAATGGATTGGCAGTGTAAATGCAAACTATTACATGTTCTATAGTTCATCTAAGAATACCATCGTACCACATTTTTCCAGTTACATTCTTTTTTTCTTAGTGGTAACAGAATTCCAGCACTTAGCCCTGAAATTCTAAACCCTTTTAACTGGCAATAAAGAGAAATCTCAACAAGATAGGAATTGAATGTTCCTTCCCTGGAGCTTTTTAAAAGCAGATATTGTTCTGCATCCTAAAACAGTTCTTGCAAATGTTATTTCTAACAAAGGATTTTTGTAAAATACACAACCTTCAAAGACTTGTTATGTACTAAAAATGTCTGTAAATCTAATTGGTTGTCTTACATAACATGTACATTGAAATCTGTGTTCTCTGCAAGTCAGTTTTAAGTACTTTTGTTTTCCCTCATAATCATGAGCAAGAGAAAAAAAAGGAGTAAAAACCTGACTCAGCTAAATTTCGCCTTTGGCCAGATTTTGAGTTTTGTGTCCAATTTAGATTAATACAAGGTAGGCACAACGGAAAGCAGAAATAATGTTTACTGGAGAAACTATTTCTGTATTTCTGTAGTACAAATCTGAGGAGGAAAGTCAGAGAAGGATAAATGGATAAATAGGTAGATCATATGACATGCAGTGGAGTTAACTTTTGTAGGTGACAAGGAGTTATCAAAGAAATGTGAACAAGGAAGTAAATGATTAAACATCTGTGTAAGTTCAGTGTAGAAGGTGAATTGGAGTGGGCTCACACGTTTGACAATCGATTAGTACCCTTGCTCCAATATTGTCATTTTTTTCCCTCAAAAAAGTGTAAACTATGTAACTTAAAACTTTAAAATATTTTGATATTTGTTTTTCAAGAATTTTAACTACCATCTACTTCAAGATATATATATATATATATATATATATATATATATATATATATTTTGAATTGGAGTCCCACTCTGTTGCCCAGGTTGGAGTGTAGTGACATACTTACAGCCACCACAGCCTTGACCTGTTGGGCTCCTGTGATTCTGCCGTCTCAGCCTTCCAAGAAGCTGGAACTACAGGCATGTGCCACCATGCTCAGCTAATTTTTGATTTATTGTAGAGATGAGGTCTCGCCAAGTTGCCCAGGCTGTTCTTGAACAATCCTCTTGCCTCCACCTCCCAAAGTGCTGGGATTACAAGGGTGAGCCACCACGCCCAGCTTATGATACTTTTATCTTAAAATTATAAGCACTGTTGCAGTACAAAACAAGAAGCGATAATTCTACTAATTCAGCCAGCCAAACTACTTCAGTAAATCATCAAGCTACAGACTGGAATAACTCAAACAAAAAAATTCTTCTAATTATCTTTAAAGATATTTATAAACTTTATTTTTCAAAAAACCAAAGTGATTCAACAATACTAATAGTTCTAGCATGCAACAAACCATCATTTGACAACTGTCTAATCTTCTTCACATGATGTATACATTATTTTCATTCCTATAAAGTTTCCATAAGAAGCTTACAATGATAGTAAAGGTAAATAAGTACAGTTGTCCCTCAGTATCCATGGGAGATTGGTTCCAGGATCCCCCACAAATACCAAAATCCAAGGATACTCAAGTCCCTTATATAAAATGGCGTACTATTTGCATATAACACATCCTCCTGTATACTTTATTTCTAGGTTACTTATACAATGTAATTGCTACTTAAATAGCTGTTATACTGTATTTTTAAATCTGCATTATTTTTGTTGTATTCCCCACCCCCCGCCAATATCTTTTATCTGTAGTTGGTTGAATCCACAGATGCAAAACCCATGGATATGAAGGGTCAACTGTGTTTTGTTACAGGTACTTCAAATAGCACTACAGTACATCTTTGACAAAATTTTTACAATATTCCAACTTTCAATATGAAACGGCTTAAAAAGGCATGGGCCAAAAATAAAGTATAGTAATATCACTTAGGCAAATAAAGTCTCATAATCATACAAGCACAACACTGAAGGACTCTCCCTGTTTAGGTTGGGGAGTATATCAAACATTTCCTTAAAACAAAATTACATAAATTGCTTAGGAAAACGCCAAAATCCACAATTTCAGACATATTAAGGAAAAAATTTTGAACATTATTGGAAAATATGAACTAGTTATTCCTTGCTTTTATGTAACAGATGTGTTCTTGAAAAGTTTTATATAAAGCAAATTCTGTAAGCCATTATCTTGTTTGCACTGGAGGAGCTTATCTCAAAGAAACCTAAGAGAAATTATTCTTTAAAGCATGTGATTCTCCTCTGCTTTAGGTGGATGTCTCTATCTACTTAATAAACAGGCACACTTGTACATCATTGGATATTTTACGTATACTGTCATGTTTCATTTCTGTAAATTAAACCCAAGTTACAATTCACTCATGGTAAAAGAAGCAAGCAGACCACCTCCACCTCCACCTCCACCTCCCACCCCTTCCCTCCCCCACCCCAAAAGATAGTTCTTAAGAGTATGATGCAAAACTTACAATTGTTCACTTATCCACATTCTCAATAGAGGGCTCTTCACTATATTTAAGTACGCTAGGATAAATACTCACCTATTATTTTTAGCTTAGAAACATAACAGTTCATTTCTTTTATTGCTAGAAAATGTCATTCCTAAAGATTTTATAAACAATGGCAAATATCAATAACAATGTGATTATGAAATAAGTCCTTTATAGTTTAGAATTAAATGAAATAGTTCCTAATGATTATCATGATAGTCTGTTTAGAAGAATGATACCCTCAACTCTAAAAGCATCTTATTCTTATACAGGAATGACTACCTTATAATTAAAATAAGAATTTAACAAAGATCAAAATAACATTCTTTAGCCTTATAGTCTGGCAAAAACATATAAGAATAAAAACTAAACTAGACCTAGTCATTGGTGTCTGAACAAACTTAGTAGTTTTAGTTAAATCATATGACCATTCAATTAAAGAGACATAAAAAGAAAGGATTTACTAAAATAAAAGTCTTACAGAGAGGAAGATCTCTAGGTGAGAGTTTTAAGTCTATGACTACTGCTGTCAATCACTAATGAGCAAATAAATGAACTGCATTATACCTCTGCAAAGATAAATCCGCATATACATTATCAAAGACTATGGCACTTGGAAAATATTCTTGGTAAGTAAACATGGTAAATGTGTATGGATACATCCTAGCCTCTCTTACTTTTAAATTATTTGGGAAAGACAACAGCAGCTTGGGCAAAAAAAAGAATCCTCATCACCTTTAACATAGTCCTAAAAATAAATAGCTTTCAGAAGACCGATGAAAATGCGATAATTTTCTCACCCATTTTCATTTTTACTACCTCTAGTTTTTTAAACTTACAAGAAAAAAATTTTTGCAATGCAATTTGTGCCATAGGTGGACAAAATGTATACTTTCATATGAAATATAAAATAAATGAAATATAGTGGGGCTATTTGCTGCAGCTAAAAGCCAATTTTTGCCTCGTCTTCTGAATATATCTAAAAGGAGATGGCATGTCTTAAGGAATAATTCCTTTAAAAAATGAATGAGGCTGAATTACTTGTACAGCATCATTAATTTATAATTTTCAGTACAGCCAGAGTATGCTTATAATATGAAAAATGCTCTTTATGCATCAAATAATGCTCTCCCTTGTAAGTTAATTTGGCTGTTCCTAAAACATTGTATTGATTTTCCAAGTATTTTACCTCATTATGCAGGACAAGCAAATGCCTGTGAAATCATTCAATTTAATGTAGGCCTTTTGAAAAAAATGCATTTAAAGTAATGATCTTTAAGACTAAGATCACCAGAGACTACAAATTGTTAGTGGTTGTAAGTTGTAACACAACCGAATCTAAGACAACCACACTCTATTGTCGTCTTTCTTTAAAGTGAGTAAGTTGATGCCTCTTCCAGTGAGGAGCCTGTCTGAATCTTTTGCCACAAACTGAGCATTCAAATGGTTTCTGCCCTGCATGAATTAGATAGTGTCTTTCTAGTTTAGATGGAGATCGGAAACTCTTAGAACAAACACTGCATTGGTAAAGGAGGCCATCGTTTCTCTCCTGACGCCCTGAATAATTGCAAAAATGATGGCTTTGCTCTGATTCCAAAAGTGCATTAGAAAGACAGGGCTGCCTGTTACTACAAGGGGTACCAAGAATGAAATCCCCCGAGTCTGCCTTAACTTCTGACATTTGATCAGACTCTGAGGTCTCATATTTTTGAAAACCAGAAGCCTGACTTTGTTGGGAAGTATTACAGTTGACATTATCACCTGGATGGCTAAAAAGTTTGTTAAAATTATCATATTCTAATTGGAAAAGAGATCCATAAGGACTCTTTTCAATATGAGTTTGTTCGTGTCTTTTTAAGTGAGCTGCCTGTCTAAAAGATTTCCCACAAAGATGACATCCAAAAGGCCTCTGCCCAGTATGAATTAAATAGTGTCTTTGTAGTTTGGATACAGAAGGAAATACTTTCTCACATTTGTCACAAGGAAACATCTTATGTCCAGTATGTATGTTTTCACTTGGATCTGAAAAACCACACTGAAGTGCCTCACGGTTATTAAAAAATTCCTCACCCGATGAACCATAGATTGATAAGTCTTTATTACTCACTGAATTATCCATGGTTAACATGTTTTCTGTTGTAAGGATACCTTTCAAATTTTTTCCCATATTTTGGCTCTGGAATTGCTTTTGCCATGAAAATGGCAAAGTCAATGTTTTCTTCTTTTTATTGCCAACTGTCTTATATGCTCCATGTTTGCCAAGAGAACCCATAAATGTTCTCTGGGTTTGTTCAGAGTTTTGCTCACCAGAAATAAAATCACAATTTTTCAAGAAACTGTTTTTAAATACTTTTTTCTCAGATCGAAAGTTACCTAATTTTCTACTCCTAGCACGTCTAAGCTTGGCCAAGATTTTTTTAACAATGATTTTATAGTTGTAGCTTCTTTTGAGCCTGCTTGGAATTTTGCCACCTCTGGCAGGAAAACACTTGTGTTCATTGAGAATCTGCTCTGATTCAAAACACTCTTCACACTCTGGACATTGAAAAGGGACAACATAAACAGAGTGGACATCAAGTGGATTATTCTCCTCAGATTCTCCCATAACACCATTTTCAAAACCATGCTGATTTGCATTTAATTTATTAGGCAGGGGGCATGATCGTGAACTCTTCACCTTTAATGAAAGAGCCTTACTCCTAGTATGGAGTTGTTTATGCTTCAGAAGTTTGCTTTGAATCTTAAATCCTTTTTGACAAAAACAACATTGAAAAGGTTTTTCTTCTGAATGTGTGAGTTGGTGGATTTTTAAATGAGTTGACTGTCGGAAAGATTTACTGCACAGGACACATTTAAAGGGCCTCTGACCAGTATGAATAAGGACATGCCTGTCAAGTTTTGATTGTGATGGAAACATCTTGCCACAGATTGTACATGCATGAATATTCTTTCTTCTCTTTGTGGGATCAGATTTAGAGTGTGGGTGGAATGCCCATCTCTCCTCTGTGGTAAAAGTATTATACACTCCATACATTGGCTTTTGTTGCTTGGCCTCCAGCAATCTTCTGACCTGTTTAACATCATTCTGATAGGTTTCATTGTGAAGTTGTTGATGCTTCACAAATGTCTTCATATTTTTAAAGTGGCGCTGACAAATACTACACTTAAAAGGCAGATTATGAGTTAGTTGATGCCTCTCCAGATGAACTAGTTGTCTAAAGGTTTTATGGCACACATCACATTCAAATGGCTTTTGACCAGTATGAATGAGATAATGCCTAGCTAATTTTGATGGTGTTTCAAAGTGCTTGAAGCAAATATTGCAAATATATGGCCTGTTTCTAGGTAGTTTGTTGGCTACTACACACTGTTGAATCTTTAGCATTTCTAAATTGTTTTCAGCCATCATATTCTTCAGTGATATACTCTGATGCGCTCCATAATGTTCTCAAACTCCACAGATGTCTAAAAATTAAAAATAAAAATGGATTAATTCTAAAATTCAATAGTCATATAAAAATAAATAATTTAAATTGTCCTTTGGCTGAAGATATTAAGGGTAAAAGAGAATCTGGACATTTCCTGTGTTTAAAAGTTAATAATTACTTTAGATGAATACTTTAGCATCATAAAACTATTTCATACAGATAGAGATAAGTCTTTAAAAATAATATCTAAAAATCTAAATAATTTTAAGTTATTTTTCTAATTGAAATGCTACATTAAATGGGGACTGAGTTGAATTTCTAATATATTTCTATTATTAAATAGCCCTTTTACTTCCAATTTTCCTAATTCACTAAAAAAATAAAGAACTAAAACACAATACTAAAATAAGATATATTTGCATTCAATTACATCATAGACACACTCTGAGAATAAAACATATTTCACTTGTCAAAGTTGGATTTCTTAGCCACAATATTAACAGTATTTACTCTTAATTGCTTCTTTAGACCAACAAGGACAATGTGGACAAGGAGAAAATTCCCAGAAGACCTGGGTTATAGTTCTGGAGTTGCCACTGTATGATCTTGATGGTAGGAAGAAGGAAATGTAGAGTTCTCATCTCATCAAATGGAGAAAATGCCTCCTGGACTGCCTGCCACACCAAGCTGTTGTGAGAATCAATGAAGATCATGTATGTGAATGTGTTAGAAAGCTATGAAGCACTACATAAATGCACGGTAATATTTTACTCATTTTAATCCAATTTTAATGTTATCCCTATCTTTTATTTAACATTTGTAGGGTTTCTAATTAAGAGATAAATACACTGACTAAATTTACAGTTCTTTTTACTTCTCCTTTCCAGTTTGTTGTGAAATTCTTAGGAGACAGTACAGAAGTAATAAGATCAACAAGTTGGTTACTTATAGTTATCTATGACTAAGTAATTGAAAGTTGAGTATAGTTCACTTATGAGGCAATATAGTAAAAGGGACATTTTGGTCTTACAGTTAATATAAAAATAAAAATGCCTTCCCTATAAACCTCTGTAAGATATATACAAAAAGTTTTAACTGGCACTTTCATAACTATCTTATACTCTGATTTATCGTATACTCTTTTATCAGAGAAGTCAATTTTCTTCTAATTACTCTTCAACTACTGCATTGCCTTTTTTTTTTTGAGTTGGAGTCTCACTCTGTCGCCCAGACTGGAGTGCAGTGGCCGCTGCCAGCCACTGCAGCCTCGACCTGCTGGGCTCCAGCGATCCTTCCGTCTCAGCCTTCCGAATAGCCGGAATTACAAGCACGCGCTACCACGCCCGGCTGATTTTTTTGATTTATTGTAGAGATGAGGTCTGGCCAAGTTGCCCAGGCGCGTCTCGAACCCGCGGGCTCAGGCAATCCACTCATCTCAGCCTCCCAAAGCACGGGATTACAGGCTGAGCCTGGCTTGCACTGCTTTTAAATAAGGGAATCAGAGATGAAAAAAAATTTTTTTAAAGTTGTGCTAGCTCTTTCATTATAATGTATCTTCTGGTTGAGAACAGAGAGTTGATAACTCTACCAGAAACTCAGAGTTCTTCTGTCAGCTGATTTGGCAAACATCCAGTAAATATGCTATTTATTGTCTTCTAGACTATACCTAAAACACAGAATTACAAACATGCCCACTGTAGTTCTCTTCAGCAATGTGAATCAGACACATAAAAAATAGATATTTACCGAATAAATATCTTCTACTATTTGCTTTGTCACATTTCAAACTGCAGATCACTATTCATTAATGGACTGTGAAGTCAACTTAGTGGGTCATGATCACCATTTTCTTATTTAAAAAAGAGTGGAAAGTATCAGAGCACATACCATACAGCAAGGACGAATACCGTTTTGTGAAAAGTGGTTAAAAAAAAGCTTGTGAAAACTATTCCTAATATACCTCTTCACACAAACTACCAGAGGAACCTATAACAAATCACTTTATTCAAAGTGGCCAAGTAATCTATTAGGACCACAAAAATTGGGGGCCTATAGGATGAGACAAGATTACTAAAGAATGAGTATTCCGTTTTCTTCACTTGACTCCTATTATTTTAAAATATTTATTTTAAAAATCATCTAAGCTGGGTGGGGTGGCTCACGCCTGTAATCCCAGCACTTTGGGAGGCGGAGGTGAGAGGATTGCTTGAGCCCACGGGGTTTGAGACCAGCCTGGGCAATTTGGCGAGACCTTGCCTCTACCATAAATCAAAAAAAAAAACAAAAAAAATTAGCTGGGCATGGTGGCACACATCTGTAGTTCCAGCTACTTGGAAGGCTGAAGCAGAAGGATCACCTGAGCCCAGCAGGTTGAGGCTGTGGTGGCTGTGAGTGGGCCACTGCACTCCAGCCTAGGTGAGAATGAGACTCTGACAAAAAACAAAACAAAACAAAAAAACCTCATCTAATCAGAGGCCAAATCACAACACAAATAAAGGCAAAATAAAATCATCTGAATGTAAGCCACTATACCAATTTATAAAATATACCATACAACCCAGATATTCAGCAACAATCAGCTGTTGGTGCTATGAATATGCATTTTTGCCACCTTGAGATAGGGGAAATTACAGGTGAACAACCTCCAAGCTCCTTAAACATGCTGATACAGAGCAGGAGTCATGAGAATTAAAATTAAGTCATGAATCCAGTGAACTACCAAAAACTTAGCTATCTGTTTAACTCCTGTCAAGCATTTAGGTGTCAGGGTAGTCAATCAGGACAATGAACAAATCGAAAGTAATAATTAAGTCTTTATTCACTTACTGTGACAGTGCAAGCAAGCAGCAAAAAGCAGCACTGACTCCCCAGTGGTCCACTGAACATAAGGACACTGAGTGAGGGTCAGGTGAATGCAGTGCACAAGAGGGAATCCTTCCACTGTAGTGGAGTCCCTAACAAAAGGCTTCTGCCTCTTATGGGCCCTTGGTACAGGAGACAGAGGCCAAAGGTCTGGGAGTGGAAAGGACCTCAATCTAAAAATGCCTCAGCCAGGATCCCTGCCAAGAGGGACTCCAATAGAGATACCTGGGCCAGGAAAGAAGTTATAGGATGAGCATGGAGAGCAGGAGGAGCAGGGTGAGTCCCTGACTGCAACCCCCTCCAGAAAACTGTAATGCACTGGCCTGCACCAAGTCTGGTGTGGGAGGGCAAGCCAAGCAAAGCCTAGTAACTAACTGTCTAAGGCCGGGACTGAATGATCACACATAGGATTTTGGTCTGCAGCCAGACTCAATTCCTTTGCTTTTGTGGGAATATCTTAAAAATTACAAATAAAGAAAAAAAAATCACACACTAGAATCACACACAACAACTATCTCTGATTGGTTACCCATGGCTCCTGTGCCAAAAAGGGTGTTTGGTTGATCGCCCATGGCTAGCACTAAGACTAAATAATTACTGTCGCTTGCCTCCCCACTATGAGGGGTAGCACTCAGTGGAAGTTCTTTATTGTGAGAACCATCGGTGGCAAGCGGTGATCTCATCTCCTATTTATAATCGTTAGGGTGGAGATCCTCACCTCTCCAAGTACAGGAAGTCCCTCACCTGCTCATATACAAGCGTGCGGATGGAGCTCCAAATGCCATTTCAGCTGATTTTTTTGGTCGATAACATTTAATAAACCAACCCAAGACTGTAATTTTTCTTAGGTTAAACTGAAATAAAAAACAAAACAAAACATAGTCGATGTGCTCAAGGTTCAACCTGGGAATTATCCGGACAAGAACAAGACACATCCCGCTGGAAGAGGGTTAAAAACTGACCTCGATAAAATCCACTGTGGCCTCAAGGCTGAAAGCCTGTTGATTTTCTTGTTTTACCGAGTATCATTAAGACGAAGTGAGGACATCACAAAAGTACATGAACAAGAAATGAAAGACCTGAGAGAAACACAGACAGCTTTCAGTTGGGGAATGATGTCGGGCGGCATCCACCACAGCCTCCCTCTTCCTCGCTTCTTCCGCCTCTCTCGCCCCGGCCCACTCTCTTGGCCTTGACCCCTCACCTCTCCCTCCCAGCGGACAAAGGACACTGACATCTAGCCCTCGCCCTAATCGCCCACATCGCCCACAACCGATAAGGACTTCGTGGTCGCGCCGAGTGCAGAGACCGCAAAATCCGACACCAGG